CCTACTTCGATCGATTTCCTAATATAATAATGTCGATAAAAGGATTTAAAGAATTTAGTAATAAGCTTTTTAGCTAGTCGATTAAATAAGGCGGAGGGTAGTAATAACGAATAGAAACTAAGAATCGAGAGTACGGATGGATATAGTATAAATAATTCTCTAGCTTCTATTAGGGATTCTCTAAGCTCCTGTGACGAACGGCAGTCTGATCTGCCTAAATGAGATAGCTGAAGGTAAGAACTATCAGAGTCGTTCGGTGAAGCCAAAGGGTTCACAACAAGTATGCTCGTAATACTAGTCTCAATGATGATGATCAAGTTGTATTGACTACTGTTGAACTATCTGACAATCTGAGTTCTCCAGTCGTCCCTTTATACTTCCCGTATCGTTCATTCTATAGCTGGCTTACTTGTATTATCGTGATGCTGGCTCACCAGCGTGAGCCCGGGACTGGCTCACCAGCCTGAGCCCTGTCTCCGACGCCTTTCTTGACCCTGCCCTGGCCCGTAGTTACACGAGCTAGCCTTTCTGGGTTGCTTGTGCTACCGATGGTCTGGTTGGCCCGTGTGCTTGCCTTAAGTTCGTAACAGCTCCCTACCTTCGTCCTTTTCGCCCGCTACCAATGGCGGTACAATTAATAGCAATACCTATAGCCAAGTAAAGACTATAGTTACTATAGAGATAGAAGGGGGGTTAGCGCGCTTAGTAATAAAAGTCTTACGGTCGGTTGGGTACTTATAAAATATAGTAGTAAAGTATTTTAAAAGCGTATATAAATTAATAATTATTATTTTATTTAGTAGGGGGAGAGTATTTACTATATTATTATAATTAGAACTGCTTATAATTACCGAATTAATTATAGAGCCGCTGGTAGTATAAGGAGGAGGTAGTTAGACTTAGGGAAATTAAAAGTAGGGAGGGAAATACTAGTAGAATAGTAAGTATAGTGGGTATAGAGGGGGAGGGTATAGCTAGTATAAACTTTTAAAATTATTCTTCTTTAATATAATTTATAATAGACTATTTATAGTCTCTATATTAGTACTACTATTACCACTATTAATATTATTAATAATATTAATATTAACTAGTAAATAATTACCTCCTCCCCTATATTTACTACTATTACTAATACTAATAAAAGCAATTACTACTTTATTCCCTAGTATCTCTCGTACTAAATTACTGGGCGGGTTAATTACTATAGCCTTCCCTAATGAAATTGTGTATATTTATTTACCTATATCTTTAACGTTAAGGTTATAATAAGTTATATTCCCGTTAATAATATAGTACATTTAGTACTTAACAGCCTTATTATAATCCTTATACTTATAATTAAAATTATATGCCTATACCTATACCAACTTTTAATATATAATACTATATAGCTTTACCCCTATATACTCCTTTTATTACCGGTCTTCCTCTAAATTCTTCTTAATTTCTACTAATATAGTATTTATTATAATGCGCTTAAGCTTCTCGGTACTAGCTAAAGTCCGTAACCTTCGAAACGACGGTGTATCGGCCGTTTGTAGGGTAATAAAAAGACTAATTAAATTACAAAAGGGGGTAGGAATAGAGGGTATACTACTATAGGAAGAGGGGATAGCGGGGATTTTACTAGCGGGCGGCTCGGTCAACCGAAATTTGAATGATATAATAAAATAGTATTACTAACCAATATAACGGAAGTACAACTTTATAACAGTCTTATACCTAATATTATTATACTTATTAAAGAATTCCTTCCTAAAGACAATTTTATTATAAATAATAACCCGGGCGCAATAGTTATTATAAATAGTAATAGTATAATTAACATTATATAAGACGACTAACTATTTTATCCTTACGGCCGTATTATCGTCGATAATCTTTTATATATAACCTTACTACAATTATTTAATATTCCTAAATAGGGTTGTTCTAAATTGTTATTTGTAGAGCTTGCTATTATCCTTTTATTTAACTTTTACCTCTCTAAATATACTACAATCTTCAATAAGTAATAGTTTATTACAGCTAGTAGTAATATACGAACCGATTATATTAAATTGGACCTATATTAATTTAGGGTATTTAGGACGTAGCGGCAGTATTAGAACAATTAGCTCATAGGTAGCATATGGTTGGGCCGGTAGTGCTAAGGTAATTAATTTAATTAAGGAGGCTATTTTACTATCGTTGTCACCTGATAAATAAAATAAAGTATTGAGAGCCTACTTCTTGGGAGTAAAGCGGATGGAGAGCTATTACTCGACCTTATTATTATTGTTAGAATCCTTACTATTAGAAATTTTAATTAGGGTAGCGGGTCTAAGAAGAAATAAAGGTAATTCCGGAGTTGGATTTTTAACAGCGGAAACCTTCCCCTTCTTACCGGTAATCTTTTTAATAGTAGCCTTCTTAAGAATAATTTTAATAGGAATAGCCTTCTTCTTAGGAGGAGTAATTTTAGGGATAGCTTTAATAAATTATTTAGTTTTATAGTTCTTCAATTTAAAATAGAAGGAGGTATATTATAAAATTATTGCGTCTAGGATTTTTTTAATTTTAATCTTCGTTGAAGTAAATTATTAATATACTGCTTTAAGTATAGGATTATTTTACGCCGGCGGATTTTAAATTAAAGATCGTCTTGGGAGGTATTATTATAATAAATTTGATTAATTATTAGTATTTTAATTACTTTGCACACTAAAATAGCTTCAAATTAATCCAGAAATTATTATCAAATAATAGATTTTAACGAAGTTGTGCAATACAAAAGTGCGGTGTGTGTGTGTGTGTGTGTGTGTGCACGCACACACCCCGCCAAGACTGCACAGGCGATTGAGTGTGGGAAAGGTGTGGAGCTTGAATTCAAGGTTCGGGTGATGGTGGGATAAGCAAAACCTTGTAGC